ATGGTCTTAATAGAAGAAAATATTGAATTGTTACTGTGGCTGGGTTTGGTATACCACCTTGTGTTGGCGATCCTTTCCTTCCATTCTTCTGACAGAAAGTCCCCTCTTTCCAGCTGAAAGAAACCGAGCAGACTAGTACAAACCCTGAATACACGTGGATCTGCAGAACACCCAACATTTAACATTTTGTGAGTAAATGTCACACTAAGAGTCAACTTACTGTGTACTCCCCGTGTTTCTTCCCATACCATTTCATCCACTTTTTAAACTCTTTATCCATGGTCTGAAAGATTGAATTTGAATATTAATATCCAAACATGATGATTTTAATAAAAGTTATTTTAAACTACAACAATCAGTACGGGATGCGTGTGTTCCAAAAAGGAGGATTAGCGAGTTAACAAGAGCCCCTCAGTGAAATTCTGGCTCTTGCCTTAAGGAAAGCCATGTTTCTGGCTGAGAGCCTGTATCTTTTACTGTGATAACGAACGCTCAGCTGGTTAGACTAACTGTAGTCAGGACTCATTTAGACTAAGAACAGCCCCTTGGCACATGGGTGCAGGGCTCCGTTCTGGTGTGTTGCTAAAGGGCAAAGATGAGAAAATGAAACGTGAACCGGGAAATCCATTTTGATTTACTTTAGGTTTTGGAAAGAGAATAAATCGTACTTCTCCTTTCAACTTCAACGACTGTAATTATTACAAGTGCCCCAGGAACAGCGTTTGACCATATCTTAGAATAATATAGCCAAAAAAAGCTAGAAATTGACTCTTTTTACATTAGAGTCAATGGAGCGCATCCATGAAAATGTTGAACTTCAGTTAGAGCGAGTCCTATACCGCGCTGTGATTGGCCAGCTGTGTATTCAGGGTGTGGCTTAGTGAAGGGTCAATTGGTGCTATATAAATTAAATTGAATTGAAAAGATGGCGATTTATCGTATTTGCGGACTGTCATCTTCAACAGCTCTGTGTCAGTTAGGCACACGTTTCAGTTATAATCACCTCAAAATCAGCAAGATAACGACGCAGTTTGCAGTGCAACGGAAAGTGCAATATAATCCATTTCAATGGTCAATAACTTCTGATTTTCAACATAGAAATCTCAAATCATTCAGTCACCATTAAACATTTCACACCTGTGAGTTTGTAAAAAAACTTATGAAAATAAATAAATTAATTAATTAATTGAGCATTGCGGTTGTAATTTCAACAGCTTGCTCATTTATGAATAAACTGACATCACGTCACCTTGTCCTGGACATCTTTCACACCTTTTAGTTTTCAAGTTCAAATGTTTTTATTAAAAAGGAGTGTATGTTGAAGTGCATGTGATTTATAGTTTTGTTTTTTACTGTGGCTTCCAATTGGGCATCAACAATCGTGGAATTTCACTGCTACTGGTATCGACTATTAAATTTATGGTACTGTGACATCCCTACCCCTCTGCTCTTGTGAGATATTTATGTCGTTACCTCTGCATAGGTAGCTGGAATGTCTGCTTTCTCTACACCGTAGTAGTGTTTACAGTTGGTTGCTGCTGCAACCTGCAGCACTACCTGCCCCACTCCTGCAAACAAGAAACAATAGGTTCATGTCTTACGCCAAACATACAAAAGACACCTAGCTGTCAATGTTGTTCAATTTAAAAATCAAAACATTATTTCTTTTTTTTAACTGCTTCCATGTACGACTGGTAAACTATTAACAATGTATTTAAAAGGTCTGTCCTATTTTTTACTGTGGCATTTGGTTTTATATGACAGAAATGGTGGTAATGTAAAAGCCACGTCGGATCAATTCTTTCTGAAACCTGGATGTCCAAACAATAACAGCAGACTTACCACTGCCGAGGTCAACAAAGGTGTCATCTTCCATCATTTCCATCTCGTCGATGATCTGAGACACAAGGTCGAAAGAGGTCTCTCCGTACACCTCAGGGGAGAAGGGCTCGTAGTTGTTCAGCTTCTCCGGGTCGGTCACCGAGTGGTTGTACACCTGCTGTAGGATGTGTCTCAGCAGCCCATTGGAGGGGCGCTTGTTCAGCTTCATGGGCTGGGTGGTCCCTTTCCACTATAAAATGGGATTGCATATATTTAATCACACACACACACACAAAATCGAGGTATATTGTTTTTCCCTATACATCAATGTGTTCCTAAGTTAAGCGGTGCTGGCCTCTCAAAGAGAAGGACCAAAGAATACACATTCAAAAAAAAGTTTTTGGATAACAACTGTGCTTATGAAACATCTTGGTCAATAACTAGAAGCATAAATACTTAATTATAGATCTTAGTCTCGTAAGAGAGCGTTGGGTCACGCGTGGCACAGATTCAAAGGAACACAGGAACAGACTCACAGTACAGTGTTGTTCACGTTTATGACTAATGTTTTCACATTCACTTCACCTACACAGCACTGAAAGCCTGCACATATACGGACTCACCAGCTGGTGAATGCTGTCGATGGCCCTGTTGTACTTGTCACAAAGTCTCTGCATACTCTCGAAGCTGTGAGAACAACAAGACACAAAATCAATACCCTCATTTTGTACAAGAACTGCCCAGTCCAACGCCTATTTTCCAGCTGACTTCACAAGAACACTTTTCACCTATGAAAATACTTACAAAGATCTGTTAACTGTGACAGAGATTGCACTCAAGGGAAATTATTACTGACACATACACATTTCAATTATATGTTTGGCCTGAGAAAACCAACCAAACACAGTAGAAAACAAAGACTTGAGTTTAGACATACAAACAGGCTGTTAGATCAGCAGTTAGCCTGCGTGGATGAAAGTGTTGACATTGTATGATGTTTTTAGTCCTTTTAGTATGTTTTCTAGTTATTTTCACAGACACAAACATATTTTGACATGACCCTTGTTTCACCTCTTGGTGTCGTAGTCGATGAGTACGTAGTTCTCCATTGCCAGTTTGAGGTCTGGGATCTCCTCACACACCCACCTAGAGAAAGCACACACATGAAAGCGTCACCAGATCATACACCCGACACAGTGACTGACTGTCAGCGTGAATGTGGGGGGGGTAGATGTGGGTGGTGTGTCAGGGGGAGGAAAGGTTGCTTACCGAATGGTCTCGATGATTTCATGAGCAGCATCGTGATGTTTATCCTGAAATCAGAGAGGGGTGGACAAAATGTTAACCTCCTCTCAGTATGACCCATTCAATTCAACAGCACCACAAACTACAGCCTCCATAAAGTTTAATCATCACATCTCAAAACACAGTCTCAATAAAACATTATAGCCTTCATGATGGTAGGATTTATTGCAAAACTGTTTTATTACTAGCAGTGGTTTAAGCTAGGCATACCTAATAAACTTTCAACTGAGTGTAGAAAGCCCAAAACAGATGACAAATATACATTCTACAAGCCAGGTGGCATAATAAAGAAACTCTATGCACTTCTGTCTGCATCTACTAAAGATTTCCACAATTATTTTGCAATATGGAGGTATGTCATTTAAGTTTACCAACCATTTACTTAAACTACAAGCACTTTTAAAATTCTAATGTAGTGTCAAAGATATCTTGACATCTACTGCTATCACAGCTTATGGAAATTTCCCAAATAAGAAGAAATTAATATGATAATGCAGGAAATCCTATATTATAAGCCAAAATATTTCAATAACAACTTCCTGGCTATGCGTATCATGTAATTATTTGGTGAGCAGAGTTGAATGATCAGGCACACTGAAATAACTTAATTACGCCTTCATGACACCGCAGCGCAGTGACCTCAACAACTATTATGTCTGATTCATCCTCTCATTGCAGTGACATCTGACAGACAATAGCCACTGCAGACACAACTGGAAGCTCCAATGTCGCTGAATGCTGTTTAGACCAGTCAGGAACTCTGTCAATGTTTACAACACATACTCTGCACTCTGAATGCAGCAATCTCTCTTTACCTTAGCAGTCTATTATATAAGCCTGCACGTTCACAAAGTTGTCTACCTCTGTATCAAAGCAGTGGCGTGTAGACACAGACTCTGATATTCCGAATTTATTAAAAAAATCTTGACTAGTTAATGTGTTATTATGGAGTCAGTTTACAAACACACAAAAAGTCCATGATGTGGTGGAATCAGAAGAATAGAAACAGACAAATCAAAGATGTTTAAGTGATACTGAAATGTCAGTATTTGTGGCAATAATGTGAGCTTGAACCCCAGCAGTGAAATAATCTCTACTGCATTTTTTTTCTAATGAAATGGTAAATTTTGGAAAGAGGTTAAAACAAGAATTATTGAGTGTCCTGTGAATGAGTTCTACTCTGTCTCAAAGCGCGTATTTGCCAAATAATCCATGCATCTCTACTGACAGACAGCATTAGTCTGATATCTGGAGTAACTCAAACCCTCCTTCAGAAAATTGGTTCAGTTAACGATTTGGCTCAATGAGAGTATTCCAAACCATGTCCGAGAAAGCCAATTCCAGGTAATCCAGTTAAAAACAGCACTTTAGTCTACAGCAAAGCTTAATAAAACAAGACAAGATTAATTAAATTGATCCCATGCAGAGAACCTATAGTTTGTAATCTTATCTGGAGTGTGCTGCTGCAGCTCTGTGGGAGTAACAGGAGTCAAGTTACACCCAGAGCGCAGCCAGTCTGAGCCTGTTGCCTCAGCTGACCCACTGACCCACTTTCGGTCTCCTGCTCCAGAATATTGCCAAGGAGAGCCTCTGGTGGAGGGAAGGAAAAGAGGGAAATTACGAACTGAGGAGAAATATGAGGGTAAAAAGGAAAGAAAGTGAAACAGAGAAGAAATCTGGAAACTGGGGAGAGTGAGGGGGCCATTGAGAGGTGGGGAAGCCTGGTATTTGTCAGCTGTTTGAGGCCTGGCACTGCAGCCGCAGCTAACAGCTCACAGTCCGGAGCTCCCGTCTTCCCGCTCAATACTGCCCGCCACTACTACACAGACTTCCGCCAAAGCTCACACATGCATGCGCACACACACACACTCAAAAATGCATGGTAACACAGGAAATCTCCTGCTATTTTTGTCAGCACGGCGTTCCGGTTACAGCTATGCATCATAAAGCTAACAGCTAGCTGTGTTGCTAATAAACAGCATGAGCTAAAAAAAAAAAATATACAAACATACATGAGCACAACAGATTTAACACACTGTGTTCCACTAAACGGGGAAGGAATACAAGGTGAGTGAGTGTATGAAAAGAGCATGTGCGAGTGAGCCAATGAGATGTCGAACGGGGGGAGGTCACCGGCTCACACAAAGACGGCACACAGCAACACCAGCACAGGGCTGCTGCTAAAAATAAACACAGTCTGAAAGAGAGAGTCTGACAAAAAGAACAGGAGACCCTCCTCTCTCTCTCCTCACTGTGGGTATACTGACGCATGTACGACGACTCCTCTCTACACCACCTCAGTCAATCTCTCCTAACATCAGTGTGACGCATTGTGGGTGTAGGGGTTTTACACCACACGCTGCTCCACTACGTATATATCTGCAGCCCACGAGAACAAATGACTAAGGCAGGCGTGCCACTTACACCCTTCTACTAGTCTTACTAAACACGAAATACAACTAATGCACTTGGGGGCAACTTACAGCGCACCAGTATCTAAAATAAGATACTTGTGCTAACTTGTCTTTTAGGCAAAGAAGATTTTCAAGCAATTCTTGTGTACAGTATCTGATTATAACAAACATACTGCTATCCAGAGGAGCTGTCTTAACATGGTCAGTGATTTTATCTTGACAGACAAGTACATCAGGTCACATGTTGATGACACTGAGTGTCTGCAATTCAGCTGAACTGCAGTGTCTGGCTGCCTGTATCCAACACAGAAACACTCTACATTAAAGTCACTTCCATAACCACAATAGCAGGGCTGCAAATATGAGAGTGTTGCCTTTAGTATTTAAATTTCAGTGCTGCAACAAAACTTGAATCCTAAGAGTTGTGCTCACATGCCATTGACTTTACAACAGTAATTGCAGCCTTGTAAATAACAGGTGAAGTAGGTGAGGAGCAGAGATATTCAGCAGTACTTGAGCAGCAATGTATCTTTTAACTACAATGTACTGTAGGCCTGGTTAGTGCCCACACCCAGAACCAGATGGACAAAGAGCTGCACCACAACAGAGGTGCTCTTCATATGGAAACATTTATAGATGCACAGATGTGGGGATTTAGTGAGAGATGGGGAGAAACACAGAGCAAAGGAAAAAAAGAAAGAAAGAGAGAGAGAGAGAGAGTATTTTATAGGCTTAATTCTGGATGCCAGATCTGCACGCCTTATAGTGCAACAGCCATGTTGTGTTTATCAAAACACAGACAGCACTGTATCCATGCTCTGTGGGTGAGATAAGCAAGTTTAAGCAGCTCTGTGGGAGTCAAGAATACATCTATAAGTAATTCAACAAGGGTAAACAAAATTGATAATTAAACGTGACTTGGAAAATAAACTTGAGCACAGATACTGGCATGTGTTTTTGAATTCTATTAATATAGCACTGCTGAATAGGAGCAGTCTCTTCTATCCTCCTCCCTGTCGAGTTGACCATATGGACATGAGAGGAGGGGAGAAGAAAGAGGAAGTCTTTACGCTTTGAAAACAGGAGGAGAGCGCTGCATGAATAGGCACCATATTGCAGGACTCCACATGCAGGACCATCAGCTGTTTCTAATTCAATGCAGGACAGCTAGTCCCTGTATAAATAGCTATCACGCAGGTCAACGGAATAAATTCCTGACATGCTTGTTCTTGTGTTTATCCTCGCGGACTATAAAATGCGGAAATGGGTGAGGCAACAAATCCGGCAGGGAGGAACTGTGAGTGTTATCAGACACTGGCCTGGTGTAAAGGGAGTGTCAACTCTGTCAGCCAAAGCAGAGAGGAGTGGCTGATTACATCAACTTGTAATTCTGACTCAGTGACTTGAAACTCATTCAGTTTGTGATGATGGGATAAACACACTAAAGGATGAAACTGAAATAACCAGACTGCCAGACTAGGTGCAGTGTGGGCGGTGAGGAGATGTACCAAAAGACACCACTCTGACATTCTGAAAGATTCAACGTTCATTCAAAGTCAGCACTTACTGTCTTACCGCAATTACTATAAATGAGATACACAGTTTAAGTTAACTATATAGGCTTCTGAAAAGACCACAGATCTTGCAACCGCTTCCTTTTCCGTTTCTCTTTGACTCTCTAATGAGACAAGTGCAATCGGCCACCAACGTGTTACTTACAGCCATGGAAATAACTACTAAGAGAGAAGTAGTCTCTTTCTTGGCAAGCATCACTATATTACTGCCTCGAGAAATGACAACAAATGGATGTATGGAGTTCAAAATACCCAACACGGCCAGCTGGTCTCAATCGTAGGGATGTCATCAGATAACCAAACAGAAAAAGAACTCGAGGAATGCAACTCGGCCATTGACTTGCAGAAAGCGATGTGCCCTGGGTGATTGTTTAACGTTACTGGTA